CTGACCGTTGCTGGGTTTGAACCATGAGTTGACCAGCTTCATCATAAAATCCAGGATCCCAAAATTTTCCAAACCATCGAATTTACATTTTCACTGTGCAAAAATGTAATGTAAAACTCAGTGTCGAATGTTAAGTGCCAAATTAAATAATAATATCTGGAACATCTCATACTAGATTTTTTTGAGTTACAGCAGAGCAATTTCAGTAATAACGTCATGTGCTGCTGTAGCTACCTATTTCAGTGGGAGTTAAGCAGATATTAATAATGTGCATCTGAAAATCCCATGGACTCACTTTGTACTTTTACTACTTAGTAAAATTAAATACTTTTGAAGAAATTGGCCCTGAGCTCCTGAATGAGAATATACTTCCCATTACTTATTTCCCTTCAGCTCAGTCTTCAAAAGTTTGAAGTTCTTGGCTGAATAGCTTTGAGGTTGCTGAACCAATGTCTGAAGGAGAGGAGGAGAGCTGCTTTTTCCATTTGAGCAGGTTCCCTTTAGAAAGATGACCCTTCTGAACCTTCAAATATTTATGGTAAGGGGATCTCTCTGACGCAAAGTAAGGGAACAGTCTAAATCCTTAAAAGCATGCAGTAAAACATAGTCTTTTTTTAGATTTACTAAATTAGCAGAGGAAGAGGGAGACAACAAGATGTTATGTGAGACACCATAGGCACCAGGCTTAAGTATCTGAGATAATCAAGCTAGTGTGGAAGTTATGAAGTTCAAATCCAATCAATATGAGCAGTTAAAATGTGCTGAACCCCACTGTTCCCAATATCCTTCTGGACTGTTTTATCTATATTTGCATGGGCATTTGCATATGTTTGGGCACATGTGTACGTGTCTCCTTCCTGGGAGTTGAAGTTAGACAGCAAGGGAAGGGGAAGAGGGGCACGTTATCTGAAAGACCTTTTGCATAATGCCCATTCTGGGTGCGAGGCTGGGCGGTGGGGAGTAGGAGCAAGTTGCTTAAGTTCCCCATTGAATAGTTCATGATGGAAACCTTCTCTGTTCCACTGCCTCAGTGTGTGTGGGCTCCATAGCCCTAATTCTGGAGTTGCCATTTTCTTGCTTCATGTCTGTAGGGCAACGAGAGCTGCTTTGGGGAGAGGCTTCTTTTAAACGTGTTCTGCCTGCAGTGATTATCCCGGTGGCAGACGGACAGAGGTCCCAGGGAATGCAAAGTGTGCAGAGCGGCGTGTCCTGCACAAAGCAAGGGCTTTCCATGCTATTCTGGCTCCTTCACCACGTGTGTGCTATAGTGGGCTTCAACACGCATTGTGGGATTACTTTGAAGATTGTCTGACATGTTTACGTGCATGCATATGCGCTGTGTGTGTCTTAAAAAGAACATTTGTTCTGGGCAGCTTTTCCTGCTGCTTGGTTGCTATTGTCCTTCACAGCCAGCTTGTTTTCCTCTTCTCACCCTTCTGCTAGATTTAGTGCATGATTGGTCACTAATACGTCATTTTTCAATATATTCAATATGTATCTGTGTTTTTTCTTTCTCAAATAATAGTCTGCCGAAGAACCTGGACAGAAATGCTGGATCCCATTCTGCATTAAGGAAGCTGCTATGCTGACCGGTTTTGCCTTAATGTTAATTAAGTTGGTAGAGGGAGGTTTCTTTATTGTCAGGTGCCTTGTAGGGTGCAATCTCTTGTAGCAACTCACATTTCCCTGCACTTCCATGTCATTAGTGTAGATGTTCACTGGGTAAGACAGATGTGGTTGGGATTTGCTGAACCAGAGGGATGCCTTTGGCTTCTGGGGTTTTTTGACTTGCGATACGGCCCTTCAGGTGACTGATTTGCTCCTGGACTGGGAAGCCTTGAAGTAGCTTCAGGCTCACTGTACCTTACCTCTGGGTGTCATTCTGAGGCAAGGGCTGGGTAAAGTGTCTTTGCTGGGCTTTGTGCCAAGGGACCTGGGTCTTAGCCTAGGGACGTGACACAGGTCCGTAGTGAAATGCTGTTCCAGAAGCTCAGAAAGTTTCAGTGGGTCACTTGCAGTGATGGAGTCACATCCGTGAATTTTTGTAGGATCAAGCCCTGGATCTGTGGTAAGGGGTTAGAAATGTGGACAGCAGTTGTGGATTTTAAAATAGATTTAACTGCACCTTCTTATGTTTCATTGTTGGTCTCTGAAAGTTTTCCAGTGGCTTTTAGGACCCCTTCTAAAATCAGAGGTGATGGGATACCTCTAGATTTCAAAGTTTAGCTTTAGCCAAAACCACGTCCATGTTTTCTGCCTGTCTCTCTTATTTAACTAGAATTCAGTGCAAGTTCACAGCTTTGACAACTCAACTTTATTGCAGCATGGGAATGGTTTTCCATGAGATTCTAGTACTGGAGCAGGTATGGAGGGATGGGGCTGTGTACCAGATGCCTGTCTTCTGGTGTGGAAGATGGTGCTGTGCCAACTGGTGGCACTGCAGAGCCGGAGTCCCCGTGCTACTATATCCATGTTTGTAGTGTTGCTCTCCCTATTTACTTACAGTTTTTACAGATGAACAGGAAATACAGGGAACAGCTACAGAAAAATAATAAACAAAGGGGATTGCATGCTGAGTATCTTCAGATAGGATATTTGGGACTGTTTAGTATGAGGAAGAGGAGGCTGAGGGGAGACCTCATCACTCTCTACAACTACTTGAAAGGACACTGTAGAGAGGTTGGTGCTGGTCTCTTCTCACAGGTAATTAATGACAGAACAAGAGGGAATGGCTTCAAGCTCCAACAGGGTAGGTTTAGACTGAACATTAGGAAGGAATTTTTCACAGAAAGAGTGGTCAGGCATTGGAATAGGCTGCCCAGGGAGGTGGTGGAATCACCATCCCTGGATGTGTTTAAGGGACGTTTAGATGGGGTACTGAGGGATATGGTGTAGGGGAGGACTATGTAGAGTAAGCCAGATGGTTGGACTCGATGATCCCAAGGGTCTCTTCCAACCTGAATGATTCTATGATATGGGATATCCTGAGATGGGAACCCTGGGCTCAAAGATGGTGCTCAGTCGAGGGATGAAGAAACTGCAGTTTACATTTTAGCACAGACCAAACACTTTATAATGACCACCAGAGCCTGTAGCCCAAAGCTGGACTGGTAGCAGGTACTTGGAGAGCAGAGCAGGCCCGTGTCCTGTGTTTTCGTCCTTCCAGAGACACATTGGTGCTTCAAAGGCAGTTTTTGTCACTGCGGTGCCCCTGAGGGCTGTGCTATGGCATTGGCTATGTTGGTGTTCCCTGCATTTCTTTGACCAAACAGCTCCAGATCACAGCCAAAGGAAGCCTCTGGGTACAATAAAGCCAAGTCAGCTCTGAGGGGTCCCAGGTGCCTAGAAGGTCTGGATCTCTGCCTAATCTGAACATGGGAAGAAGATACATCTTGAAAAAGAGAAGTGTTGGATTGAAGACATGATCTGTCTGGAAAAGCTAAAATAAAAAAGCTAAAGTTTTCTGGAAAAGTCAATATAGAGTTTAGGTTTTCTCAGCTAAATCCAGCCCTAAGTTAGGCTGCACAGTGAGTCCGGAGGGTGATGTTGCTTGCCTGCTTTCAGAAGAAAATGGGCCATCCTACCTCAGCATGTCCTGCTGTGGGATCAGATGCCTGGCTTAGTCCTGGAGGCAACATTTTGGAGGCTTAAACCCCGAGCTGTTATCCTTACTTCAGAAATGGCAGAGGTTGTTCACAGTAATGACAAACAAGGATATTTTAACTGGCAATATTGACAGAGACAATTTATAGTCTATTGTGTGGATGCAGCTGCTGAGCATTCATACCCTGCCACCGTCTTGGCATTCCTGACTATTTTTGACAAAGGATGTTTAACCAGGAATACTTTCATATCTCAGCATAATTTATATCTTGGCTGTTTGCATCTTTTCTCTGTTCCCTTCCTCCAGCTTCCCCTCACACAGGATCAGCCCAGAGCTCCCTGTCTGAGTGGATTCATCTTGTTCCTCCAGGAACAGAGTCATGGTTTGAAGCACACGAGCAGGGTTGCAGTGGCAAACCTGTGACCGCGCTGTCAGCAGCCCCGAGGTGTCAGGTTGTCATGACATCGCTTTTCTCCCTTGATATATTACATGCAGACTCCTTTTTCTGCTGTTTTTCTAGTTACAGATAAGTTTTCCTGCCAATAAGTGTCCATAATATGTTTTTCATATTACAGCACAGGTTAAAAAGAGCAGAGTCACATCCCATAAGTAGTTGAACAGCAGCTGGAAAATGGTAGTAGATGGTTTTCCCCAAGGTAATTGGGTACAGTGGGGGTGAGGAAAGAAAAGCTGGCAGTCTTCTTTCCACCCATGCTTTTTTCCTGGGGTGTCAAGGGCGTGCTGTGCAGTTGCACCCAGCAGCCAAGGAGTGTGCACCCCACGGGGTGTCCTGTTCCGAGGAGACAGCTCTCTCCATCATTGCTGCAGAGACGTGCTGGGTTTTCAGGTAGCAGGGCAATCAGCCCTAGGATCTTTGGAATGATGGCTAGAGTACCAAGGGGTTTAGGCAGAAAGAACTGATACAAATTAAAAGTAAGTAACTTGTGGCATCTTGGCAAAAACAACTTTTTTTTCTTTTTCTTTTTCTTTTTTTTTTGTTTAAAGCTTCCCCTGTTTTTCATCACGCCCGCAGGGAGGCTCACCCCACTGCCTGGCTCAGCACACAGGAGAAAATTTGGAGCAGCTGTGATTGACAGGGCCATGATGTCCTGTCAGGGAGGCTGTGTTTTAGAAATAAGAATTGCTTTGGGAAATTGCAATGGGATAGCTTCCAGCAAACTGAACTGAAAGTGTCTTTCAAACATCAGGATGCTTGTCCTTTTCTATCCCCTTTCCCTCTATAATCCATCTGCAATTCCCATGGGGAGACAGAGAGGTGTCTGTTATTTCCTGGTCTGTGCTTTTCTTCTCTCTCTCCCCTCTCCCTGTCTTTCACCACTGAAATGCCAGGAGGTTGCTATGCCCCGGGAGGATAAGAATAGTCTACAATGGCAGAGATCACTCCTGTTGTTGTTTGTCTACTTGCAGTTGTCTGGACAGAGGATCCACAAAAGAGGTAGGAGCAATTGGATCTGAGAGTTAGAGCTTTTGCAAGACAAACTGTTAAAGCCTTAAGAAGACTCGTTCCAACATCCAAATCTAACAACCTTGTTCAAACCATCAAAATAACCCTTCATCAATACGTTGCTGTGGCTGGGTTTCTCATTTCCATCCTTGACTCTTACCAAAAATTACTTTCTTTATTATTATTTTTTCTTTCTTCCCTGTCCAGGTCTAACCTGTGAAAATGCCAAAATCAGTAGGGTATCAGGAGCTGGAAGTGGTGTGAACCTGTTCAAACATGGAGCGCTGGGACTCGCTGGGATTTTTGATTGTCACACTCAACTATAATGTGACCATTGTAGGTAAGTACTTTTAAAAAGCTCTCTTCTTTCTGTTGTTGCTCCATATCCTGAAGCCACCCAAGTGTCTTACTGATAATTGACTTTAATTTCTAGCTATGCCTCTGAGATCCTTATAGTAAGAAGTTGTTATTTGGATATTTATGTAATAAGAGTGGTTAATTATTTCTTTTCCTGTTAAATAGATTCCTGCTCCCTCTCTGATAGATATTTTCTGAACTTTATGGAAGAAAATCTGGCAAGGTTTTCAAATTTGGTTCTTTTTGGTGTCTGAGCTTCCAGTCAGCTCTAATGGCTGATTGTAGGGATCATGGTGAAAGCACAGAGAAATAGTGTTTTATTTATACCACATAAAGTGAGCTGTAGAATGTACGCAATAGCTTTAGTTATGAATGAAGAAGTATAAAGAAGAGGAAAAAAACCCCAACCCTCTTTTTTACAGGAAGAAGTCTGTAGTTTATTACTGCTGTGGTTAATTACCACTGCTTTTCATTCTTTATTTTTATAAATGAGCAAAGTTCACATGGATTTTAAATAGCCCAAGATACAAGTTGTGTTTCCTCAGCTAACAGTGGCCTGAGTGCGTCCTTTTTTTTTTCTTTTTTTTTTTTTTTATTTAAATCAAGCACCGTTCCTTTTTCAGGGGCTACTTTGAGCAAAGTGTGAGCCAGAGAAAAACTGCCAAGGGCCTTTCAAAGACCCTTCGCCCCCAGCCGTAGACAGTTGCTGTAGTTTGTGCTGTGCGTTGCAGGGAACATCCAGCTAAGCCGCGGGGGGGTCACTGAGGGGGCTTGTTCTAGTATGTTTAATCAAGATTGAGTCATTAGGGAAGGTGATATGCGGAGGGGTTATCTCTAAAATGTGTGTCATACTAAACTACTTCCTAAGGAGCCATTGATTTTCTTAAGCAGCACTCCCTATTGTACATGTTCTAATTAAAAATTGATAGTGAAATAGCATGTAGTATTTTGAGCTTAATTAACTAATGTGCTTCAAACACTTTGAGGGCCTCACAGAGAAAAATTGTTGCCTAATGATGAAGCGTTGCTTGCTAAAGATGCCTGATTCTGTAAAGCTGGTGTTTTCTGTTGACCCATGTTATGTCAAAAATATCATGGCATAGACAAGTGTACTCTTCACTGGGTAAAAAACTGCCTGGATGGCCGTGCCCAGAGGGTTATGATTAATGGGGTGAAATCTTGTTGGCGGCCGGTCCCCAGTGGTGTCCCTCAGGGCTCAGTTTTGGGGCCAGTACTATTTAATATCTTTATTGATGACCTGAATAAGGGAATTGAGTGCACCTTCACTAAGTTTGCAGATGACACCAAACTTGGTGGGAGTGTTGATCCTCTTGAGGGTAGGAAAGCTCTATGGAGGAACTTGGACAGGTTGGATCAATGGGCCAAGGTGAATGGGATGAGGTTTAATAGGGCCAAGTGCCGGGTCCTGCATTTTGGTCACAACAACCCCAGGCAACACTACAGGCTTGGGGCAGAGTGGCTGGAAAGCTGCTCAGCAGAAAAGGACCTGGGGGCCAGCAGTGTGCCCAGGTGGCCAAGAAGGCCAACAGCATCCTGGCCTGTATCAGGAATAGCGTGGGTAATACAGCAGTGTGTGTGACTTCACAAAAACTTTTAATAAAAACCTACCCTATCTAAAAGCCCTCCAAGAAACTATCATAATCAATACGGTCTCTTTCAAAAGGTAGGATACGTAGGGTACCAATGTCTGATTTTTTCACTGCTCTTGCTGTAATGGAATAGGGATAAGGCCTGATCTTTCTAACCAAAGCAGATAAGACCAGGACAAGACTACAGCAATCATATGAAAGAAGTTGGGGAAAGATGAAGTAAACAATATATGAAAATGCCAGACTTGTAAGGTATCATTTGGTGTTGGTGTTGAGACAGAAGGGAGCTTTTGGTCTGAATGGAGAGAGAAGCCACACACCAAGGTGAACGAAGGTTGGAAGACATGACCAAGATGGGGCAACAAAAGAAGCAGCAGAGAGAATGACCAGGGTACACATGTGTGCACATAAACGTGTATTTGTAGAACATTTTGCCTAAGTTTGCTGATAGCATCTATTAACTAGCTCACTAGTAAGTACCAGTCCAGACTCAACAGAGAGATTTCATTGACTACAGTGAACTTTATATACTTGGCCAAGTTCATGGCCAAGAACAAATAGTATGTCATGGAACAATCTTTTTTATCTAGAATAGTTTCATACAGTTTTAGCTAATATATATTACTGAAATAAAACAAAATTCAGGTGCAGAGGTATGAAACCAACAGCAAGGAAGAAATGTAAGTGAAATGGGGTTATTCACTCAATAGTGAACACTTGTATCAGATTTGGACGTGTTCAGAGTGTTTTCATTAGGCTGAGATGTCAGTTGGCATGGGTCCTCAGACCCCTACACTGCTGAGTCTAGATGAAGATTATGGAATGTGGTCAGCTAATACACTTCCACAGTGTCCAGTCAAAAAAAACCAAAGAGGAGGTTTTAGGAAAGGAGACTGATTACAGAGCCAATTTCTTCAAAGGTCTTTTATATAGAGGAAGCATTGCTCCCTTACCTGCCTTCCCTTCCTTCTCAGTGCTCTGACTCTTTTTTTTACCTTTTCTTCTCTTCTAGGCAAGATCTGGCTGATGTTAGCAATTCTGCTGCGAATGGCAGTGGTAGTGTTAGCAGGCTATCCACTCTACCAAGACGAGCAGGAGCGCTTCGTCTGCAACACCCTGCAACCAGGATGCTCCAACGTTTGCTATGACTTGTTCTCTCCCGTATCTCACTTCAGATTCTGGCTCATCCAGACTCTGTCTATCCTGCTGCCTTCTGCTGCATTCAGCATTTATGTTTTGCACAAGGCAGCTACGTACATTGTAAGAATGCACTGTGTGGTGCACGGATGGAAAGGGAATAAGGGTTTATCAAGCCCCAAAGACCTGAAGGAACTCTGTAGAAGCGCTTCTGTCAATAGATTAGGTTGTGGTGCCAACAACCTAAGTGTTCCTAATTTTTCTGGTGCATATACTGTTCATCTTTTCCTTAGGACACTACTTGAGGCTGCCTTTGCAGCTGTGCAATATTTTCTTTTTGGGTTTTTTGTTCCTGAGCGCTTTTCCTGCTACCATTCACCTTGTACAAGCACAGTTGACTGTTATATCTCCCGGCCCACTGAAAAATCCATCATGATGATTTTCATCTGGGGGGTCAGCAGTCTGTCCTTCCTGCTTAGCCTTGCTGATCTTCTCTGTGCTCTCCGGAGAATGACAGCAAGAAACCAAAAGAACAAGCTGCTGTCAAACCTCCATGTAGAGAACGAGTGCATCTTAGATCTTCTCCCAGAACAGCCTGGTAGCTCTTCTCCACCTCAAAATCAGAATTTTCCAGTATCAAATAGCAGACAGGCCAGTGATGGCTCCTGCTCCCTTCTCTCTGAGGAGGAAGATGAGGCTGTTCTTCATCCTGAAGTGGTCTCTCAGCAAACTGCCAGCACTAACCTTAACAGCAACAGCAATAAGCCCTGTCTATCAGGAGATCTTGCTGTTAAGCAAGATGGCACTGAAGAACCCTTGTGGGCTGGTGACCACCAAGGAACTACATGCAGGCAAATGAGACCCAGGCTTCAGCAAGACTTCATTAAAGATACTGCTCTGACTTTGGGACCCCAGATCAAGTCTCACCTTGGCGTTTCTTCCTCTCTGGTTCAGAGCAAGCTTTTAGGATACTGCCCTTCAGCTGAGCTAAAACCCCCTGATGCACAATCTAATTATAGCAGTAGTAGTTGCTTGAGGTCAAAAAAGTCAGAATGGGTATAGAGCCCTGAGTGTGCTCTACTCATTGACCTTGGCAGGACACCTCATTGCGTCACTGAGGAGGTTTCAGATAGTGTCAGCTGGATCCCTCAGCTGAGGTTATGCTGCAGAAACACTATTATGATGTGTTTTTCCATTGAAGAGGAAGGAAAAACCTCAGATAAGAGTTTGAAGCCTATTACATTCAGGAAACTGTTCTTTGGAAAACGTAACATCTTTATGATATTCTGAGTGTGACTTTAAAAATCTGTGGATTGTTGCTGATGTGACTGACCTGGTTTTCCAGGAGTACGTGTGAATGCTTGTTTACCCTAACCTAGTTTTATTGCAAAAGATTGAGCTTAGGAAAGACGTGACTTTTAAACGCAGTTGTACATTGTCTACTGCCAGAAGGTTAATTTATCTCCTCATCTACATTCTCTAAGCCCACTCTAAGAAAGGATATTCAAGCAAGAAGAGTAGACAATGAATAAAATAAAAATATATGTTTTGTAGCAAGGTGTTAATGTGTAAAAAACCCCTTGGAACCTACTGATTGAAGGCTACACCTATCCTAGCTAGCAGCACCATGGCAGTACCTTTCTCAGACCCTGAGGTCAACTGGCACAGTCTGACCACATCTGAATTATTCAACTCCATTAACCTCCAAACCAGGGTGACTGTATCCATATTAGCTGTTGGGAATGGTCCTGTGCTTGAGAATTGCTCGGGAAAAGACTAGGAGGTGTGGGTCAGGTGTGAGGGAGTGCTCCAGCAGCTTGGCAGTGCCGGGGGCTGAGCCCCAGTGCCCGTGCCCTGGCACTACTGACTGTGCACCAGTGCAGATGTACTACTGACAGGTCTTATAAGGTCTTGTGTCTCAATCTGAAATAGTCACACTAGACTCTTGGTTTCAGTAGGGGGAATGAGTCAGCTGACCTGGTTTGGGCACCTCTGAAGGCAAGATGAGTCACTTTCTACCTATTTCTCCCACAGTGTGATTATCTCAGACCTGGGCTTTGGGAAAACGGTTTCTACTCTGAGAGAAGGATATAGTGGCAATGTCTATATCAAAGTGCTCACCTTCTTTGTCTGACAGACTTTTAATGCTAATAATTTGAAAATGTGTCTAAATTGAGTGAATCACAGAAGATTTTATTACTGTCATGCTTTGTACTTCAGTATTAATTCTGTTGCATTTACATAAGCGTGGTCCAGCACCGAAGCACAGCGGTGCCTGAGCTGGATTTTCTTTTAGCTACAAGTAAGTGGGGGTTGGAGGTTGCATGTACCTGCAGATCACCAGTGGGAGTGGATGTGGAGGAGCATGTACTCAGAGAAAGGTACTGGTGGTAGTGTCGTACAAAACAGATTATTCAGAGGGTGGCAAGAGCTGGTATTTGTAGATGCTGCTTGAAGCTGGAGTAGCTCCCTCTCCACTTAGACCTATGCAAAGGGGTAAAGAGGCACAGATCCAGTCTTGCTCTTGCTGTGCCACGTAACATGCTTCTGAAATACCTTAATGACTAGTTCCTCTGTGCAGACTATCAAGGGACAACAGCTTTCACGTTGTTCTTTTTCTGTCCTGTGGGTGCAGATGTCTTTAAGACAATTTGGCTCATAATGTCTGTGTATCATTTCTCACATATGCAAGGTAAAGCCTGGTCACAGCCCACTCAGAAAGGAGGGAGGGTAAGTGACTCAGATTCATAAATCCCCAGTGGTGCGGAATAAGGTGAGACAAATCTCAAAATCCATATACAAACATTTATGAGGTTAGTAACCAGCACTTAACTATCCCTCATCTTCTGCATCCCTTAAAAAATTAGGTAGCTTAATAGATGGACAGAAACGCTCTTTGGGTCAGGAGGCAGAATTTACTTCTGCTTGTGAAGTACTTTGGGGTCCTGAGGTATGCTACAGAGGCTTTTAATGACTAGCTTCTAAGTAAAGTTTTCCTCTCTATTAGCTGTGTTTGTTTTTTTTTTTTTCATGTGTGCTTGTTGTATGATTTGTCATTTCCAGGGTAGGAGCAGCATTAATTATTAAACTTATCATAGGCAGAAAAACATTAAATATTTAAACTTCTCATCCTCCAAAGCCTCTTTAACGGGGTCTGTGCTGATAACACATACCATGACAAAACATCGCAACAATGAAACCTTTTATGATTCATTGCATCTCCTCAGCTGTGAGCAGGAATGCAAGGAACAAATGTGGATTCAGTCTATCATGTAGATCCCTCAGCATGAGATATAAATAGGGTTGGATAAATAATAAATGCGTTGTGGCTGGACACAGTTTGCTTTTTGGTGTCTCTAGCTAGACATCTTCTAATGACTAAGGAGTCTCATTTCAAATCAGAAAGATCCTGTCTGTGTCTGAAATGAAAAATGAAATTACTGAGCTTCTTCCTTATTCTGTTTGTGGTTTCTTGTTGTGAGATTGTGGCCTTTGGTTTGTGTCACTCGGTTGCAGATCTGGCTGCTTTTAGGACTTATGGACCCTTTGACTCATAATTCAGAGCCAGTGCAATAAGCACTTAATGTGTTTATAGAAACTGCATACTAATAGAGCAGGATTTGTACGGCCTTTTCACTGGGAAGTGAATAGAAGCTTCTGGTGTCAACAACCTGCTCTTAAGGGAATGTCTCCGAGTCTCTTCTAACAACTATTTTAATGTCACCTTTATTAATTACAAAGACGTGGGTTTACAAACTGAGCGTATCTACTAGTAACAGAAGACCAAGGGGAGACATGCAAATGTGTTTGAACTATTCTGAGCTTCCACGACTCAAGCAAATGAGAAGAGATCATTGGCAGGGACATCTGCAACGGGGAGGAGAAAAGAGGAAAGAAGATCTGTTTGAAAGAACGAAGAGGAGCACCTCTAATTTCTCCTTATATTCAATATTGCTGAATGTTAAGGTACCATGAAGATGTCTAGATGTCCAGAAAAAGTGAGTAAAAAGAAGCGATATATGTGGAGCACAGTGTCAACAAGATTTTCTGCTGTTTAAGCAAAGATTTAACATTTAAAATTCATGAATTAGTTTCGTAAGTCCTTCTGGAACATACCTCATACTCAGAGAAATGTTCCAAAAGCTGCTTGTTAAATTTGCCTGTGTGTCTTTAAATCTTTTCTTAACCCATCTACTTCAGAAAAGCATTTCTGAAGGTGTGTTGAAAAACAGTACTCCTAATCCTGCCTCAGGAAGTTTTGTCTTGCATTCAGACAAGCTGCCCCAGCTGCAGCACGGGTGTCACTTGCACCCTGAGGTGGGTTTATAAGCAATACTTACGCTACATATATTGCTCATCCAGTCTCGTGTAGTACTGAAAAGTGAGACGACACAGAAAGGAATTGAGCTCCCTGGAAATAAGAGTTGGAACTGATCAGGAAATCTCTGATAAAATAGTTTTTACATGGGAAATAAAATTTTTATTGGAAAATTATAAAATGCCTAAAAACCTGTTGTTTCCTTAGTATTTTCAACTGCATCATAGCACTTCTCTTGCTAAATAAGTATATACTAGGCTGCTGGAGATCCGGAATACCCATGTTTTTCATGCAGCAAAATCAAGTATCACTAGGAGTTTCTGCAGTATCAGTAAGATTTGAAGAGAAAAAAAAATTCTTTTTAACCCCTAAATAGGATATATTTTTAAAAACTTTTTTTCTAAACAAAATTTTTCAGATTATTGTGTTTTGTTTTCATTTTGAATATGTTTTTTAATACCAAAATAGAAGCCAAACACCAAGTTTCAATCAGTTATAATCACTTTCTCTCTTTCCTCACACTCTAGTTTGGGTCACTTTGATTTACTGTCATCAGCATAATGGAAAGATGTGACTCTCTCTTGTGAAATACTGTAGACAGGTGTCTAGGGAATGCATAATTTCCCTCTAGCAGCAGTTGTTCTCCATGAATCTCTCAGTTCAGACCAGAATAAGTATTAAATCTGAAGTTAACAATGTAGAGAGCTCCTTAGTGTATTCTTTCAAGTTATTAAAATTATCTGCCCTTATGTGATACATCGTTATTGCAGTGATTATCTTTCTAGAAGGGATCATTAAAGAGGATATTAATTGCACATTATTTTACTTTAATGTCATGATTACAATGGAGAACAGATAAATTATTACTGCTTGTAGTATTTTAGGATAATAAAGAAATACATCTCCAAAAATAGGAAAGTGGAGTAGCTGAAAAGGCTGCTCTTTCTTCTGTCTTTTGTACTACTTTTAATAGCACGATGTCCAACTGATAGAGGAGTAATTTTACAGTGTAGTGCTCTTACATTATAATTGAGTTGCTAAAGTGTTCTGCAGATTAGATGGTCTCCGTTCAAAGTCACAGCATGAACTCTTGGCCTGTGATGCACAGCAATGCCCGTTCTGAAAAATGAGTTCACCAAGGCAGAAATCTGATCGGAAGGTATGACCTGTATCTTTACAATTAAAATTATTTCGCATCCATGTAGATAAATTACAATCACAATCTCCTTCACTAGCCTTTGCCTTCTTCCACTTCCCCTTCTGTTTTCTTCCATTTGATGTTGACAGGCAAGATGTCCCAGGCCATCTTCACAATTATAATTTAATTATGGGAGTACACAGACAGGGCTAACTCCACGGACTGTTTTACGATCCTGTGCCATTCACAGCGTGGAAATGCCAGGAGGCAGAGAGCTGTCTCTGATCCAGGTTCTGCAGCCAACACTTTGGGTTGAGTAGTGGGTTAGCTTTGAAAAGCTTTCACCGATGAACAATTTACTGAGTGAAGATAATGGCAAATTCTGAGCCTTTCTTTAGAAAATGAAGTTTATACATGGTGCCCTCAAGAAAGTTGGAGGATTTGTGGTCAGCAGTCAGAAATAAGTCATTTCACTTCTGGCTTTCCTATGTGTGTAACGTTTATTTTGCCTGTGAGACTTTAGGCACCACACACCAGAGGGTGTTTGGGGATTTTCTTTCACTGAACATGTTACTTTTGGCAAAGAAATAACAATAATGGAAAGAAACAGAAGATTTTGACCTTGCAGAATGAATTTTTGATTTTCCTCTGTGATTTCCTGCCTTTTTCTTGTACTGAAGGTAGGCTTTTTTATTTTTATTTCTTTTAAAGAGAAACCAGGATAAGATGCTTTTAGGGCCCCACTAGGCTTGTTAAGCAATGCCTTCCTTGTCCTGACAAATTAGACACCCACTTAAACACCCACTCTTTCTCCTCATTTCTCTAGAAGTCAGTCTGAGTGATTCTTACTTCTGATAGACCATACAAAGTGCAATTAGTTCTTTCTGGTGTCTACTTTTTCCTAAAGTTCTGTGGCATCCTTGAAGGCCTAGTGGAGATATTCAAAGGTAGGCAGATGGACAGCTCGTGTATACATTGACTAACAAATCCAAGCTTTTTTTCTGCTTCAGCAAGTCTCTTTTTTAAAGCATTTTTCTGAAACACAAACATGGAATATCTGGGCCGCAGTTTACCAGGTGTGATACATTGATAGATACCTGTTTGCACAGGTTCACCAGAGACTTTCACATATGTCCTGGTTCACAGTGTGGAAAGGATCCTGATCTTTTAACCACTGGAGAAAACCACAGGATTTGCATTGCAGCCCCACTCCTCTCTCCCACTCAGAACTATTTCTGAGGACGGGAAGCTTCACAGCCCACGGATCTGGTGGACATCAAGCCTGATCCCTGGCTGAGGCTGCACCCCCATTGCCTTCTCCCCTCTGCCGTAAGACGTTGGTGAGTTGGGACTGAGCTAAGTGGGGCTTTTAAGAGAGGGTAGGGGGCTGCATCCACAGTAAGTGCCAGAGCTAGGACAGTTCTCAGAAATGTTTAAAAATGCCAGACTCAGGTACAGGACCTTCATTGCCTGTAGTTCTTTGCTCTTTATCAGTACTTAGCTAGCCCAGCTAGTGAAGGTTGTGAGTGTGTCAGGGAACACTGGGTTGAATCATGTTACGAATTTATTTGAACATATTTGCTGCTCTCTAGAGGAACTGATGGAACTTGCATGGTTTCAAGATGTATTGTTATGCGCTTTAAGCCAATCTAAAGTCTGGATAAATGAAGAAAAGTGAAGAAAGGAAGCAAACCAAAGTAAAAATATACCCTCCTGAAAATGTTACCAAGAAATGAAGCAGCAGCAAAATAAATTTTAAAGTATAAAGTAAATAACAGAGAAGTTAATGTACTACAAAGAGATAGAAGAAAGTACATGGATATCACCACAAATGAGGGAGGGGACCACCAAAGTATATTTCAATAAATTATGATTTTAGCAAATAAATTATGATTATACCAATCAAAGGCCTCATCAAGACTGACCCCTCTCAAACCCTTAAAAGCATTCTGCACACTGCTAAGAGGGTCAAAGAGGCCAGACTAGTGACCAAGAAACTACCTCTCTATTGAATAATCAAACAATAGATTTTACCAGCTTGTGCAAAGACATGATACCCCTCTCAAACCCTTAAAAGCATTCTGCACACTGCTAAGAGGGTCAAAGAGGCCAGACTAGTGACCAAGAAACTACCTCTCTATTGAGTAATCAAAACAATAAATTGTACCAGCTTGTGCAAAGACATGAAAGAGCCCAGAAAAAGTGTAAAACTTGAGGAAGCAGCAATTAAAAATCCACCACTGAGAGAATACTGAAATCTCGCAACAGAGATGTGGCTGATGATAAAAAGTATCACCAGAGTCTCTTGGCAGGGTTCAGCTCCGGATGAAGTCACCTACATTCTGTCACATTGCTGTGAGGTAAGTGTCTAAACTGCCACTACTCTCCAAGGAGATCTGGTTAAATCCAGATCTGGGAAAAGGTATCCTATGTTATTAGAGTTGCCAGAAGGTAACTGAGGTACCCACCTGGGGCTTTCAGACGTGACAGAAAATTACAGGAGACCCATGATCACTTGGAGAGGCAGGTAGAAACTGGATAGGAGTCTCCAGGACCACCTGGAGCCTATGTCTGCTCAACTGAATTAATGTCCACAAGTTTACTTTAGAAGGAACTGAATCACCTGCCAGCACCTGC